CAATGTTCGAATTGAAATGAACTTGGAGAGAACTTAAAGGTCAGCTCGCCATTAGATTCAGCTCAGAGTGCTGATTTAGGATGTGCCTGGTTTATAGTGACTGTATTTGTCAAAATCGACAGTGTTCTGAATACTAGTTTCAATCCATGGAATTGCTTAGAATTCTGAAATCACACTCTGATTGCTATCTTTTTTAAATGGAACAATGAGTGGCCTCTCTCTAAACTTATGAAGGGGCTGTTATTCTCTACAATCAGGAGTCACCAGGCTATGGGATTAACTGTCCTAATTCCATTCTATGGATTTCTGGAATTTTGTTTTAATCAATTCCATGTGATTAGCATTCCACAATTCCAGCTATTTTTTTAATAGAAGCTAAAAGCAGTGGCTTTGCTCACAACATTTTTACATACTAGTCATATTGTTTCAAGGATGTTTCGCAGATTATTAATAAAATTAAACTAATATTCAAACTGAGAGGAGGAAGAAAAGAAACCTTTTCTTTGATATTGTATCTTTAAGTTCCCTCAGGATATGCCAGTTCGTTTTTAATAATGTCAACGAAGTGAACTTTTTTGCAAAGTAGTTATGCTTGCAATGTAGGAAACGCAGCCACTAACTTGAGGAAGGCAAGGTCCCATAAAGAACATTGAAATAATAATGACCCAAAAAACCTGATTATTTAGTGATGTTAATAGAGGGTAAATGTTTACAAAGTCACCGGGGAGAATTCTTCTAATACTCTGGAAATAACATGCAGTCGGAGGTGGGGGATCTTACGTTCACCTAATATTTAAGTTGAAACTGAACACCCTGAGATGCAACTGAAAAAGCAACATTTGACTCTAAATATTTAGTATTAATGCACCCCTTCCAAATTTTACTAGCCTGCAATCTGCATCTTGTTTCAACCTCACTGATGATCCTCTTCAGAGTACCAAGATTATAGTTATTTGTTTGGTAACGCCTTTCGCCTTTCTGTTATCCCAAAGATGTCCAGACAAGGTCTGCAATTTAACTAATTCATTGTGAAGTGGGAGGACTGGGGGAGGGGGCAAGAGGAGGGAGCTGGAAGAAAATGGGTTATAGTAATTTTTTTTCCCCAATAATCTCTGGCCAATTGCAGGCAGATTTCTTTTCAATACAAACAAGCTGGTGACCTCAATGCACTTGGACAGATTTCAGAGTGAGTCTGCCTATAAGCTGATTACTGGACTGCATTTAAATTATGTTATCACAAACTTACTGCGTGTAATCTATTTTCCAACTGGCAGACTCAAAAGATAAATCTGTTTACTCAGGGACTCCGTTGCTTTTAAATAAAACAAGCAATTTAACCGGCTAAATCCTAAAGGTAATGGACCAATATTTGCCAGCCATTAGCACACTTGTACACAGTTGTGGATCTGTGCAATATTCAAGGTTACTGGCTTTCAGTCTTTGAACTGTCATTCCCCAGTCAATAGCCATATTTTAAAAGGTACACTTAATTGTTTCTTTACATGTACCAATCCTCACTCCAGTCATCTCCTTGAATATTCCAGTCATTCTACTGCAAAGCCCCTGCTTTGAGACATCGAGGGCCAAACAGGGTGCAATTTTAACTTAAAAAAGCCAAAGGACTGTAGCTAGTGGAAATCGAAAACAAAAACAGAAACTGAAGAAGGGTCACTGAACGCAGTGCTGTCAGACTTGCTGAGTTTTCCCAGGAATTTCTGCCTTTGCTGGCAATTTTATCTAATCCTGTCAACAGGGATGTCTAATAAAATCGGGTAAAATGTTGGTTTTGAGTTTCGTTGACAATAGATTATACTCTCCTCTGAAATGGATGGCTAGCAAAGTGAGTTTTGGGTAAATCACCTGGATCACTGCTTGGCGAATCAGGATAAAATTCCCACTTTGAGGCCAGCAAAAGACACAATGAAATGTAAATATAACGTCAGAAACCTTCAGATTTTGTGGGCCTCATGAGATTTGCTTTTACTTCAGACTCTCTTTGCTGGGCTTGATAATACTGTGCTCTGCAGTCTTCCCTCTCATCTCATCTCTCCAGCGTAACATAAAAAATGAAAGTCACACGAGCAATCGTCATATTTTTGTTTTGACTCCCTGTTGCTTTGGATAATAGCCAGCCACCAGCTTTCCTCGCTCCTCAGGCCACAGCTTCTGTTCAATCTGTTTGTACCTCTCTCCCATCCGTCACAGCCCTTTAAAACTCCTCTGCTGAACACCCATTTCTGCCATGTCCAGCTGACCCTTTCACACTGGCTTAGAACCTCCTCTTCAGATGGAACTCTGACCATTCACTGTTAATTGTTTCAAGTGAGATACAAGTGGGATTAATTGTACAGGTGGAACATAATGAATGAATGGGTGGTTACTCGAGTACATATAAACAAATACTTTTGACACAGGAGTAGAGTCAGGTGATATATACCTGCCCCATTTTTCACTCTGGGATTAATTCTTTTCACATAAATACTGGTTCTGATGTCTTATTTTATCAACTGGCTTGTGGGGCTGTTCGGGTCACTGTCGGAACTCTCTTCAAATAAGATGGGGTTTGCACATCCTGTTCACTCCAACAAGGGCAACTTGCACTGAGCACCTTTATCCTGGGAAAACCGTCCCAGTGTACTCCACAGCTGCATTAAAATGAAATGCTGACGTCAAGCCATTTATGGAGGCGTTTAAATGGCTGCTCAAATATGGGTCTTCTTTAAGGAGGAGAGACAGGCAGAGGTACATTTTGGAGGGAAATCCAGCACGTAGGGCCCAGGCCTGAATCGCAAGTGATGAGAACCCACGATGTACCTGAAGCCAGAATTAGATGAGCAGAGGTCCTGGAGTGTTATAAAGTCAGAGAAGGTGGGGAGACAAGCAGCCACGGAGATATTTGGAAAACAGGGAGAGAACTTCAAAAATGAGGCACTGGAATGTAAATTTATCACATTATTTCCATTTGGCTCCACCCCACCACGTTCCCTGCCCTTCCCTTTTATATGAAGTGAGAAAAAAAATGGTTACAATAATAAAACACTTGTCATTTAATTTGGGAAATAACTCTATTGGAAAAGAAACAGCTCCCCTAATGGCTTCACTGGCAAGCACACTGTCCTGTGTGTGGAATGAAGATGCAAGGAATTAGAAAAATCCCTGTTGCAGTCCTAAATTAGCTGATCTCAACTGGGGCGGCAGCAAGGAGACGAACAGCACTTTGAGAGGAAACTGCTGCAAAAAATGTGAAACTGCGAGGGTTGCAGCTGGTTCAGGAAAGGAGGAGGGTGGCTGAAGCTTCTTCCAGCTGGAAAGCGGCTGTTTATAACCCTTCCTATGTGAGAGAATATCACAGTTTTTTTTTTGTACAGACTAAGAGGAAATACATAAACTGCAACAAAAATTATCACCAATTTCTCATGAGGCAGAAGGAATGAGAGATGCTCCCCACTGGTAGAACTTAATGAAATCAAATCTATGACACTACAGAAAATGTAAAGCATGTTTTCACCAAGTACATGAAGAAAGTAAATTATAACAATCTGCTGAAATACTGGAATATGTAAAGCCCATTGTCAAAAGGTAGTGTAACATGTGAAGTAAAGCCATCAGCATATGGTACGCCGTTCCTCTGCTATGACTATCTTTAACTAAGGCAAAAAGGGAGGAGTTGGCTGTGGAGAGGTGGAAGGAACTGATAATTCAGAGACAGACAAGGGGGGGTTATTATGCCTGCCTGAAGTTGTAGAAACAGAGCTCCTTGGCTAACCTGGCGCTCCTGGTACTCAGGAACCCATTCGTCTGCACTGCATAATGCATGTCGAAACAGACTTGTACATTTGAGCAGACTTGCTGACTACTGACCTTTTTCCGATTCCCTAGAATTCTCTTTAAAAGGCTGACAATGCTCAAAACTCCAGTGTCAGCCCCTACAGGAGTTTGACGGGGCCCAAGGCGGCTTGAGCACTTTTGGGTAAAATAATCTAAGTGTGTTTTGCGTCCCACATCGCGGCGATTAACACTTGTAGGTAAATGTGCTGCATCTTTATTCAATTGGGATGGGGAGGGATCAGACCCTAGAGGTGGGTCTCCAGGACGACAGAAGCAGTAGCTCTATTATCGGCATCATTGCTGCTGTAGAGACAGCCGCAGGCAGCTGAGGAACACAAAACAAGAAGGGTGCACTGAAGAGGTTTCCCCAGTGTAAAGTCTGCACACAAACCGGTCCTTTGGTAACCTGCTTTGTTTGGCATCCATAATCATGTGAATCAGGATTAATCAGCAACACCATCCTGAATGAGGCATCCTATGTTATTGCTGTGAGTGTTTGAGTGACCTGGTGATGGGCACAGCCACTGGTGCAGCATCATGTACCCTCCGTCAGCAAACTGTTAAATTGCCTGGTAAAGACAGCAGGCACAGAGACAATGCTACACTCTCTTTACATTTCAGTATCAAGTAGGCATACAGCAAAGGGGAAAAAATAGCCCATATTATCATATTACAGAATGGTGTTTGGTTTTGAAATGGTCTGTTAAGATGGAAACACTGCCCCTTTCAGCAGCACACACGTTTTTGTACAAACTGTTCCTGTGCAAGAGGGAGTCAAGGATCTCTGGTTCAGGCTCCCAGATGTGACCAACATCTAACATAGCTCCGAACTGAACTGAACTGAACCGGCTGTCTGGGTATGTCACAGTTGATTCGGCGAACCAATTCCGTCGGATTTCAACCGGCCAGGGACTCTAGTTCCACAGCAATGTGTTCAAAAACGAAAAGAAAAGTTTGCCTTGACCGTAAGGCCTTGGATAGAAATCACAACTCACACACACAGACAGAGAGAGAGAGGAGAGGGAAGTGTTGGAGACCCAGTTAAAGCGAAAGATCGGACGTTCTGCAGCGAGCAAGGCAGAGAGGAACTAGAATTAATTAATAAACAAACAAAACTCCCGGTGCAGCTGATGTTAGTGAGTGAGTGAGTGTAAAGTGAGAGCGAGCCTCGCCTACCTGGGAGTTCTGTTCTTGCTTTCCTTCTTGTTCAGCACTCCGGGCACACAGTTGGTCAGCTCGGTCCAGTCGGCGTGTAAACCGCAGCTCCAGCCGGTGGAGAACCTCGAGAACAGCCAGGTCTCCTTGCGGTTGGGTCGGTAGCAGGTACACTTCTTCTGGCCGGCCCTGCACTCGCACGGCACCTCCAGCTTGACGTTCTGCACCAGGTGCCGGCCGAAGGTGGTGCCGCCGGTCTTCTGGATGTGCAGGAAGACGATCACGTCGTCGCCTTTGATGTCAAAATCCACCGTCCTGTCCAGATCCAGCGCCGGGAAGTAATACTTCTTCAGGTAGTGCGGGTCGGGCGTCGGGAATATATCCACTGCCTCCTGCTCGTGTTGGAAACCCCGGGGTGCCGAGATCCTGCAGTTGGTCCCCGGGCACACGTACTGGAAAATGATTATCATGAAAATTGCGGAGCCAGCAATAATCAGAATGAATTTGTTGGTCCTTTCAACCATGTTCCTGACAGTGAGCTTCATGGGTTACCATCTCACTGAGGAGATGCAGAGAAAGGCAGGCTTTTTGTTTTCCTCTCTCTTTCCCCCCCCAAACTTGCTAGCAAATGCTTACCCCCTCCAGAGCCTGGCTTCTTTTTTTCTTCCTCTTCTTCCTCTTGGGCGGAGGGGAATACAGGAGAAAGATTATCAAACTGCACTCTCCCGGCGTGGCCAGGGCTGTGATGCGTTGGTTACAACGTCGCTGAAAGTAACCAGAGTGAAACTGACCTGAGAGAAGGGGAGGGAGAGGGAGGAGAGAGTGGCGGCTCAGACAGAGCCAGACTTCAGACAAGGCAGCATCGCTCCCTCTGCCTCTCTCTCTCTCCCCTCTCTCCTCCTGCAGCTCCGACCTACACTAACAACACGAACAGTACCACCATTCTCTCTGTCTCTTGTGTGTGTCTGCAATCTGAGCCCAGCATGCACAGCGACCACACATTCACATCCCCAGCTTCAACCTGATAGGGGAGAGGGAGAGAGAGAGAGAAAGGAACAAGAGAGAGCCAAAGGGGGAGGAAGCAATAGAGAAGGACCAACACTTAGGTTGCTATCCACGGCCGCTCCGAGCTTGCGGGAAAACTGCAACACACACACACTTCTCCCACAGACAGTTCATTTCAGGCAAAACAAAACCGTTAGAGCTCACTCCCTTTCTGATACTTTCTCTGTGTGTATGTGTGTCTTTCTCTCACACACAAAGGGAGAGAGTGAATTGCAGACCATTGTTAACTGGAAACCACAAGAACTGCGGATGCTGTAAATTAGAAATTGCTGGAAAAGCTCAGCAGGTCCGGCAGCGTCTGTGGACAGGAATCAGAGTTAACGTTTCGGGTCCAGCGACCCTTCCTCAGAACGGTTGTAAAGTGGCAAACTGCTTTGCTCCTGGTTCTGAACCTTGCACCCAGGCAGCCTTCAACTAGGTACAACGTGGTTGTATGTATATGTTAGATCGACGGTGCAGGGCAGAAATTATTCCCCGAGACAAAAGCCTCGCAACCAGGTGGGAACCGAAAATATACTGGGGAACCCTTAGCCAGGAGGACGAGATTTTAACGCGTCTGTGGAAAGTCGAAGGTTTCGGGTCGAGGCGATCTTCCATGCAGTTTGCACACCAAACAATATGTTCCAACCAGGATAAACAGCGGGAATGGAAATGTTGCAAATTTGAAAATCGCTGGGTTAAAACATAAAATATTCCACGTGTGAAGCAAGAC